CATGTGTCCCCTCCTGGCCCGCTCTGGAGTCGCTCTCTCTGGCCCCAGCAGATTCACGTGTCCATGGGGACAGTTGGACTTCTACCAGATGGCCACCTCAGAAAGCTGTTGTCCTCCCTCTCCCCCAGGAATTGGGGACAGAGGCCAGAGGAGGTGAGGATAAAGCCCAAAGCCAAAGTGGGGGGCTTCCCCTTCGGAAGCAACGAAGGCCACACCAGGGGCTTCTTTTCTGACCCCCTCTTCGGTCAGGTTGGTTGGTGACTCTTAAAGAAAGAAAAACAGTTAACTCAGGTTTCAGTGCTTTGGATGTTGAGGGTGGGTAACTGGCTACATGGGCAGAGAAACTGAAAAGATGCTACACCAACCACCCACTCCCATCAGGGTCAGGGAACCAGGAATCCTTCCCCCCTTTGTTTCTTGCTTACCCCTGCTGTCAGGGCTGGCTTGGTGTTTACAAAGAGGCAGCTCCTGGGGTTCCAGCAATAGTTCTCTGCCACTGTTGGGGAGGAACTGGAGGGCCCAGATGTGTGACATGTGTACATTTGCAAAGGGAGAGAGGGCAGTCTGTTGGGTTTGGGGTTGGCCTTGGTTGGAAGGGCTGATGCCATTGTCTCAGCAGACAACATCCACCTCCAGGATTTGGTTTCCATGAGCCCTTTCCCCATCATGAAGGCAGGGAACCTAGAGGAGGAGAGGGGAGGCTGCTGGATCCCATCAAAGGCCAGAGAAGACTGATCTTCTGCGTGGAGATGCCTGCTTGAAGTAAACATTTTGAGGAAGCCAAATGTGTACGTTCATCTCTTATTAAAACATGTTGGTGATGGACATCGTAAGAATTGAAGTTTTTCCATGTCTCATGATGTCCCAGTCCCAGTTCAACCTAAGGATCTTGCCAACTTCGTCCATCCAGGGTAATCTCAATGCTTTAGTATGATACTCTCTCCAATAAGGTGGACAGGTTGCACCATTGGCTGCCAATGTAGTGACTTTGAGTCTGTCAGAGACAACATTTTCTTCCGATGGCATGGAGGTCACAGTGGGTGACTACTGTAGGCTCAGGTCCTGGGCTAATGTCAAACAATCCCATGTTCCTGAAATATAGACTGTAGCCCCCTCAGCCCAGGCAGCCAGAGAGGAAGCAGCTTGGCAGATCTACCTCTCCCCGACACCCACATTTCCTTGAGCCATGGGTGGCTATGATTCTAATTCTTTCTGGTGTGCTGAGCTCTTCTGGGTAACACAGAACCTTAGCTTATCTTTCTTACTTTCTTTCTTCTTTCTTTCTCTTTCTTTCTTCTTCCTTCCTTCCTTCTTTTCCCTTCTCTTCCCTTCCCTTTCCTTCCTTTCCTTTCCTTTCTTTTCCTTTAGCCTTACAGCCACTCAGACACTGATAGATGAGTATGTCCACTCCCTTTCCCCTCAAATAACCTGGAAAAACTGGGGGCTGGGGTGGGGTAGGAATGCTTGGTGGGAAGGAATGTTTTCCAGGCCCTGGGGTAAAGAGGCTTACAGTTGAGGGCTTTCTCTTCTTGAGAAAATGAAAGTTTAAAAGTCTTTGCTTTCTAAATTGCCTACCCTTAGGAAAAAAAAAATCAGTATCATTGAATGATACAAGAGCTGCCACCAAAGTTGTCCAAGCTCTAGAATATACAAGGCCTTTAGCAGAAGACATTTATATCTAATTTCGAACTTTCCAAAAGCTCCTGTTTCCATTAATGGAAATGTCATCCGTTTCTCTCAGTGTTAGGAAAGATGTCAGAAAATGGTAAAAGATAGTCAATGTAGCTAAGGCTATGTGGTTTCTTTCTTTCCCTTATTCCGAGTATTCTTAGAACACAGAAGTGAGATGTGTTGGCAATAACATAAAAGTATCTTAGGGATGGACTTTGAAATGAATATGGATATTCATTATTTTGGGCAAATGTTAAGTAACAGAGAGCCTTGAAGGGTGAGATCAGGAGTCTCCCTTGTTACTACTAGTAAACTAGTCTGGGATAACAGTGAGCTGCAAGCAACAGTAAAACCAGTCAATAATAGCTTACCCATTTGAACATTAATTGCCCATTTAACAAGCCCAGGATCAGGCTGTTCTAAGGAAGGCTCAGCAGCTCAACAATGTCATCAAAAACCCAGTTTCTTTTTGTTTTTCTTCTCCGCCTTCCTCTGCATGTTGGCCATTTAACCCTATGCATGAAACCTCATGACCCCAAGATGGCTGCCAAGGTACTGGATATCAGATTTTTTCAAAGGAAGTAGAATGGGGAAGGAACAGTCACAAAAAGTTTCCTTGCTAAAAGATCTGAGTCTAAAAGCATGAGTCTTCCCCCAGAGCTGGAGAAGGAAGGGCCTCCTTCCCACAGGATCAAGGGATACCCACAGCTTCTTGAACACAAAATTGGGATTCTGTTAGCATGAAGAAAGAAGAATGGTGATGGGGGATGGTCAAGAGGAGCCCTGCACAGAGCTCTCATCAAGGCTGTTTTAATTACAAGGAACAGAAATTGGACTCGGGTTAATTCAAATGAAGAAGTGCCGCTTTATTATAAGGCTGGGATCGGTAGTTAATTTCCTCCAGGGGACAGCCAGGGAGCATAAGTGAGTGGAACAGAGGTACAAGGAACAACAGGAAGAGGGAAGAATTGTGGTAGAGTGAGAAGCATAGACCCCTCCAAAGGGGGCAGCTATTGCTCAGCCCTACCTGATTTTGTTGCACGGTGGGAGCTCCCAATTTTCAAGACAGGAATCTGGCTTTTTACATGAACTTTCCAAATTTTAGTATGTTGGATCAAAAACTTTTAAGTGATGTATGAGCCCATACAATTCAACTACAGGCCAGGTTTCACTGTCGGGCTGCCAGCTGGCACCTCTGAGAGATTAGAAAAATCTCAGAAATAAAGTGCAGCCTGGCTTCACAAATGGAACCAGATCCAGGGAACTACCGGAGCCCAAGGCAGCCCCCTCTCAGGAGCTGTGGCCTGTTTCCACCCTTCTCTACAGACTGGCTTCTTTCTGCCTCCTTGTGGTTGCTGCATATGCCTAATCATGCATATGGTTTCCATTCACCCTGACTCAGCTCTGCAAACATATCTGACTCAGCTGTTCAGTGCACCACTTCCAAATTTGTAAGAGAGGAAGCTGATGGGACCAGATGAATGTTGGTTCCAGTCCTGGTCCAGTTAAGTTGGGTCAGGGAGGTGGCTTTGGCCTGCCCTTTCTGGAACCCACAGCAACATGTATATCAACTCTTGAGTCTGTTCATTATAACTCTATTATGGAGCACGTCATGGCATGTGGTCAGTGTGCATGGAGTATCTACCATGTATCTATCAGGCATGATACTCAATACTGAGGATCCAAAAAAAAAGAATAAGACATGGTCCTTATCTTCATGCACTCATGATGCAGTGGGGGAAGCAGGCCTAAACAGATCACTGTGATACAGTGTGATGTAAGCGCTATTGGAGGGATGCAGAGTGTTGTGGGAGGCACACAGAATGCCATTCCAGAAGCCCCTTCTCACTCTTCAGAGATTCAGTGGTTTCAGTCAGACTTTAGTCAGCTTGCCATATTCTGCTTCTTTGACAGTTAAACATACAGAAATGTCACAGATAAGCATTCATAATTAATCAAGAATACTCAATGATGAACCACTTCAAATCCTCCTACCCCCACCATGCCAGAGAACAGAACACTTTCTAAATTCATCAGTAAGAAAACAATTCCACTCACAAAACTGTCAGAAAGAGTAAAACACTTAGCAATAAATTTAACAAAAGGAGGGCAAGCCTTTTACAAACTGCGAAACATTGCTTAAAGAAATCGAAGACCTGAATAAATAGAGAAATAGTCCATGTTCATGGATCAGAAGACTTAAAATTGTTAAGGTGTCAATCAATACCCCCCCAAATTGATCTATAATTCATATGGAGCTACACGGGACCCAGAAGAGTTTAAAAAAAAAAAAAGTCCACTTGAAAAAGAAGAATAAACGTGGAAGACTCATACTTCCTAATTGTAAAACTTTTTTCAAAGCTACAGTAATCAAGATAGTGTGGTACTAGCGTAAGAACAGACATAGGTCAATGGAATAGAATTGAAATTCCAAAACAAACACACATATATTTATGGTCAATTGATTTTTGACAAAGTGCCGAGACAATTCAATGAGGAAAGATAATACTCTCTAAATTCATCAAGCTGCCAAGAATTCATTGAAAAATTGGTTACAGATCATCTTCAGGGAGGGAGCAGGAATGTTAGGCGAAGGGAAAGTGAAGAAATCAAGCATTGCTAAACCTCATCCAGTGCTGTGTGGGTTGTGGAATTTTCCCCAAGCTCCTTTGACTCTGAATTTTAGGCAGAATCGAGAGGAAACCATGTTGCAAAGAGGTTCTTCCCATTTACAAAAAGAACAGGAAGGGTGTGAATGTGGACTTCCTGGCCCCATATATTTTTCTGAGTTCATTGTGTTCTAAGTTCTATCGGGTTCCTGCTGACAACCTAACCCTGACAGGTAGGGGTCACTCTCCCCGGGGAATTTTAGATTGGGTAAAGTCATCACTTTGGTCTGAAACTGAATGCTGTGTTCCACTCCAGGCACAGGGAGATGCCCGCACCCAATCTCGTATGAGTCCCTAGTCTTGACCCAATGAGGCTATGAGGAGGAGAGAGCTAGTTCCTTCTAAAGTGTCTGCAGAGATAGCTGAGGAAGATGCTCAACAGCTTCCTCCATGGCTGAATTTCCCCACCCAGCCTGGGATTCGGTGTTGTGCACTGGTTGAAAGTGAGGTGCTGGAATCACCCAATGCCTGGCCCTGTATCTCCTTTCTACCCCCTCCCAGCTGTTGACCAGAACTCCCTCCCCATACCTTGCTCAGCTATGAAACGGGAATAAGAGCTACTTCGTGGGTGCAGGTGTGTGTGATTACACATTACACGAGTAATGAGTGCAAGAGTTGAGCACCAATGCCCAGTTAGAATCCAATAAATTTTAGGTATAATAATAATAATAATTAATAATTTATTCTTATGATTAGGATAGGAACTCTAACTTAGATCTTGGCTCCCTCACTCTACTTAGCTCAGTGTCAGCCAAAATCATGGCAGAGGCTTCATGAAGACCCCACCAGGTGCCACAGCATGGGAAGGAGCAGAGAGTGATGGCGTGGATGTAGATGGCATGGCGTGGGCCAATCAAGACCTCGTCACAGCACTTAGGGTGCCACAGGTCCCAGATGCATGAAGGCTTCCTCCAGGCTCTGGTCTTTCTCAAAAACCCAGACAGATGCAAATTCCACCTCAGAGCCTGATGCAGATAATTAGGGATAAAGATGCTAAGGTGCCCTCTAGGTTCATTTAAGGCTTTCAAAAACATCTAGAAGTCCATTTCATCTCAGAGGGTAACAGCCAGAAGAGAAGAGAGACATTAAATTTGCGCCACCCCCCCAACAAGGATTATGCTTGGTGAGTTCAGTTATCTATGAAGGGGTTCCTTGTGGGATGATCCCTCTGGTGACCCCTCCTCAGGGGTTACATGGTGCTCATGGGGCCATTTAGCAGGTTGCTGATGCTGTTGGGAATCCAACAGCAATGTGGAACGGGTATCATGTTGTTAGTTCAATGCCTTACCCGTTCGGCCTCCCCACAGTCCAGCTCTGCATGTGACTTCCTGCAACAAGATCTATCACAGCCTTCCCTCAAGTGTACTCTGTGGCATCAGTGCTCCGGGCAAAAAGGTTTCCATAGCCAAGTAAGTTTAGGACTGGATGAGAGAACATCAAATAGATGTCTTCGCTGCAGGACTTTTCAGAACCTTTAATATGTTAATGTAATTTGTCCTCAGGTTACCTAACCTCAATTATCCTCAATTTTCTGCTTGCCCCTTTGATTTTCTGAGCTTTCCTTTCTTCTGAGGACTTAAAATAAGTCAGCCCCCAGCTATTCTTCATTCTGTCAGACCCAGAGTGGGTAAAGAGACTCCAGTGATCAAAGGGAGCCCCAGGTAGGGCCAGACTTGCCTCCAGGAACGGACCTTATGGATTTCCTCTCATCTTGTGCTTCTTGCAGAAAAGAGCCAGGGTGGAAGTGGAGAGTAAGTGACAGCTTAGAGGGGGGTACATTGATTTGTTGGCTGAGGGGAGTAGGGAGTCCTTGGGGAGGTGGTGTTTTCAGAGGTGGGGTGGCGGCATCCTGAGCAACTTCCTTTCTTCTAGGATTTTCCCAAAGAGCTTGGCTGCCTCCAAGGCACAGCCCCAGTGGATGGTGAGCCCGTAGCCTCCATGGCCATAGTTGTGGATTACCTGGGAGAGGCAAGAGAGAAGGTAGCCAGGAGTGCCCTGGAAGAATCAGGAGCTCCCTGAAGAGTTCTGGGCAAAGCCAGAGGGAGCCAGAGGGCCTTTCAGCTCCCTGGCAGGATGGTGGGGCCCCAGGAACACCAGTAAGGTGATTGTTTGGGGAGCTGGAGGTCAACACCCTAGATTCTCTTTTGCTTAGGAAATGGACCTGCTTTCTGCACTCAGCACAGAAAAAGTAGAATCATCTAGAACTTGAGGCCAGGGATTCCCCTCCCCCAATCAAATTGTTTGAAGTTCCCTAAATCACCTTTCTTGTTCCCATCCTGCTCCAGAATGCCAAACCTCTGTGTTAATGGATAGACTCTTCTACCCACCTCGGGAGGAAAGAAAAGCCAGGGCACCGTATGGCGGGACTCTGGTTAGCATGCTAATTTGTCCTAGGGACAGAGGCAAGACCCCTGGGGCCTTTTTTAAAGCTAAAACCATCAGCAGGGAGTTTGACTCCATATGTGACTCTTTCCTCTGTATGTGTATACACGTGCATGCAAGCACACATACACATACATCCCATATACACATATCACATACACAAAATTGTTCTACACGCACGCACACGCGCGCGCACACACACACACACACACACACACACACACACACACACACACACACCCCACATGCCTGGCATAAGGGAGGAAGGATGACCTACATGAGGAGGATGGCTTTCCTGTGGGGACTCCAGCTACCACCTAGTCAGGTCAGTTCCTTCAGCCAGAACAACTTCTGCCATCTCAGGAAGCCCTGCTCCTACCCCAGAAGAGGGAACATGAAAGAGGGAACCCAGAGAACTGATGGAGCAGCCACAGACTAGACATCTGCAAATGGCTCTGGAGTCAAATCCAAACCACATCCCAGCCATACTCCTCACCAGTTGTCTGATTGAGGCAAATGATTTCACAGCTTAGATCCCCCAGGATCCTCATCTGAAGCATGGGGGAAGCAGTACCTATCCCAAAGAGCTGGAGGGGAGATTCAGGGAGGTCCTTCATGTCTCAGTAACCCGTTTTCCTTCTGCTCGACCACAGGCTTTGACAAACCGAGGGGCACCGCCCTCTCTGTAACCTTGTGCAGGTCCTTTACAACATCCCTGAGCCTCAGTTTCTTTACAGAGGAAGGGATGTTAGCCAGCGTTGTCCTGGCCTGCCAGTCGGCTGTGTGAAGCCAGATGTCAGGCAAGACTGGAAATGCCAGAGCCTATTAGGGTTAGGGGAGGACTTTGCATTCCTTACCAGGAGAGCATACCTCTGTGTTTAAAGATCCAAAGCGAAGCTCTTCTCTTTCTAGCCGAATCTGGGGGCGTACTGGCCGGAGGCCAGTCAATTCAGCAATAATTTTTGCATCCTGGAGAAAAAGAGTGTTAATAATTCATCTCCAGATTTTTTTTTTTTTTTTTGCTGCTGCCATTTTTAGGTGACAGAGTTAGCTTTGGAGTCTCATTATCACCACCAACACCATCACTTTCATTAACCACCACTACCATCACCACCTTTATCAGGTGCCAACATCATTATTGTCATTCTTACCACATCACTACCAGTTCTATCGACGACCCCATCTCCATCAACCACCACTACCAGCCACCACCATGATGTCACCAGTCACATCCCCTCACCCTCATTATCACCATCCTGAGCACATTCATCACCATCAACACCACCACTGTCATCGCCACCAACAGGCAAATGAAAAAACTGAGATGTTAAAACAAACAAACAAACGAGAAACACTGAGATTTCTACGACAAATGTGTCTGCTCCTTGCGCAGACAGACTAAGGTGTTTTTAGGGTTGTCATCTCAAAAGACAGCAACTCTCAGCCATGGATGGATAGGTGTCACCCGCTCGCAGTAGGACTTCCTTGTGCATTATCAAATTCTGGCATATTTCACAGTCCCTTGCTGGAATTAATTTGCCCAGTTATCCCAGTGGCAGTGTCTTCCCATCCTCAAGGGGCCTCATGATCAAGCTGCCAAGACCCTGGTCTAGGGTACCAATACTCCTCCCCACCTTACCTTCAGGGAGGGCTCCAGTCTGCAGCAGCCTTCCCAGATGGTGTTGTGGTCCTGGATGTTGTTTACCTCACTCCAGTTCCCCAGCTGAAAGATGCCTCCCAGAGTCACTGCCTGGATCCTAGGTAAAAGTGAGGAGAGTCAATGACAAAGGGAAATGAAGCCTTTGAGACAAATGGGGGCCATCGCCATGGTCACCCTTCCAACCGTCTCTACCTAAATCCCCACAACCATCTGCATGGTCATCCTTGCTAACACCACCATCAACACCATTGCAATCACCACTGTCATTACCACCCACCACCATCTCTACTGTCACCATTAATGTCACTGTTGACATCGTCATCTCTTCCAATGCACAGCATGGTGACTGTAGTTACAATACTGTATTGTATATTTGAAAATTGCTAAGAGAGTAAATCTTAAATGTTCTCACTACACACAGGGAAATCATAATTATGTGACATGATGGATGTGTTAGCTAACCTTATTGTGGTAATCATATCACAATATATGCATATATCAAATCATCACGTACATTGTAAATGTGCACCATTTGTCAATTATATCTTAACGAAACTGGAAAAAATATCATTTACATCAACAACATCATCTTCACAACTTCTTTCTTTGCTACCATGAATATGTCATCACCATCAGCCCCATTCGCCATTTCCACCACCAGCACTCATGTTGCCATTGATAATGTCATCTCTGTCACACCACTAACATCTCCATGAAGATAGCACAGCCCCACTTAACATTAATGTTGCAGTCAACATGAATTAACACTGCCTTTGAGATTGTCATCTCCACCATACTATTAACATCATCATTGATAGCGTCATCTCCATCAGCACCAGATACTGCCTTCATGGCCATCATCATCGACCTTCTCATCAACCCCACGCCACCCCCATTAATGTCAGCACTCTACCATCCTTGTCCTACTCACCACCCCTGTGAACTTTTCCCAACAATGACAGTATTATCTCCACTATCACCATTCCACTCTCAAGACATTGTCATCCCACCAAAATGACCACCATTTTCACTAATATCATCACCTCTCCCATTAATATCATTATCACCATCAACCCAGATCCCCATTCCCACCACACTCCTGTTATTTCTGTTCACACCTTCCAGTGTCATTGCCCTCACACCCACTACCCTTGTCTCCAGCATCACCACTACTGTCGTCCAAAAGCTTGTTCAAGATGGAACCCAGTTAAGGTTGAGTCCTGCCTTTCCAGGGATTTAATGGCTCAACCTCACTTAGAAAACACTGGAAGAAAAAAACCTGCAGCGACTAAGCAAAGGGCCTGGCGTGGGCAGCATAGAGAGGGCATGAAGATGCCCCTTCTTCTGCCCTAAGATGTCAGATTCTTACCCTGGGATGATGTATGGGGACTGGTAGATGCCTTTCTCTGGGTCATGGGTGAGAATGAAGTGCTTCATCCAAGGGGCATCCACCTGTTGATTGAGGGCAGACAAATCTCACTGGGGGAGTTGGATCACTGCTCTGCTCCCCTCTCTGCCTAGATGTTCTGACAAGTGTGGCAAAGCCAATTCCTAAGCCCTCTGCTGACCCTTCTGCTCCAAGTCTGCACTGACTGCTTGCCCTTGCAGGAAGAGCCACCCCTACTCCCTGACATATCACACATTTTCACCTACATGACCACAGAAAAGCACAGCATACATGTACAAATAACACATACACTTCAGCCCACATCAGGAACACACCAACACTCACATAGGCACACAGACACACACATGCCCACCAAGGGGCATCCTTCACACACGTGCACACATACACAGTGAGAGGCAATGTGGGATGATGTTTACAAGACATAGGCTCTTAAACCAGATTGTCTGGGTTCTAACCCCAATTCCACAACTCACCACCATGTGAATTTGTGCATGTTACCTAATTCCTCTCTGCCTCAGTTTTCCCATCTGCAAAGTAGCAATGGCAATATGATAGACCTCATCTCAAAGGGTTCTGGTAAGGATTAAATTAATAGCACAATAAAGTGCTCTGGCCTGTACCTGGTACTTAATAAACACTCCATAAATGTTTGCTCTTTTTTATTATAATACAGGAATATGCAATTCCTACATATTTAAAAACATATACATGCATGCTTTGCTATATTACGAAAAAAACCCGAAAGAGAATGTTTGGAGGGGTCATGTTGGTCCTTCTTGTTTCTTTACCATATCAATTGCCTGAAATCTGTGAGGCTCTTCTAACAGATGTCCCCAACACATCCTCTATCTTTGGAGAGGAAATAAGCAGGCAGCTACAATCTCTCTATCAAGAAAAGCAGGAGGTTCCATCCCTCACCTTCACACTCACCTTAATGATTTGTCCCCGGCCTGGCTTCAGTAGAGGGTCTGGTTGCAATGCCCCAGCCCACACCCCAGTGCAGTTGATAATCACATCAGCACCTCCTCTTGCCACCTGGCAGCAACGAACAGAGCAGGTGGCATGGGAAGGGGTGAGGGCCCTGGTATCCCCTGGCCCCTCTTTCCCTCTGCCCTCCACCCAGCAGCTCTCTGCTCCCTATAGAACAGCAGGGAGGAGGCTCAATGAGGAATCCAAGGAACGGACTTCAAGTCTCTGCTCCGCCATTTACCTGCTATGTGACCTCAGAAATGTTCCATCATCTCCTCAAAGCTCAGCTGCCTTCACTATAAAGTAGGGCTGGTAATATCTGTTCTTAGACTGTGTGAGGATCCAGTGTGACCCTGGATAAGAAAATGCTCAGGAAGGAGTACTGTGGAAGGGGGAAAAACCTTCTTGGGACCTCCCAGAAGAAGTCAGACACAGAGATAATTCTCTTCCTCCTTTTGAATCCTTTTTACTTCGTTCTCTTGCCTCCTGCTCTGCCAAGGCATTTTCAGAAGGCATGGTAGAACCCCTGGCTCTGTGCATGTGTGGGATACTTGACAGCTCAAGGGTATAGCATGATGGGCACCCAAACCCCTAGCCCAGTGCCAGTGACTCCCCTCACAGGTCTGTCATGGGGCACACACATTGCAAGGCATTGTCATTCAAGAGCCAGCATTTGCTATATTGGACTGTGAGCTTCTTGGGAATAAGGGCTGTGTCTGAGTCAACCATGTTTCCCAAGTGCCCATTAGGGCTCAACCTGGAGCAGGTACTCATTATATAATGCCAGTAGCTGCATTTACCAAGCACCTTCACATGCCAAGTACAATTCTAGGTGCTAGGATTGAGTGAAGTTATACAGCAAAGCTCCTGGTACTTAGCCAGTGCTTGATGGTGATAGCTGCTACTATCATTGTTATTGATGATGGTGTTACTCTGGAGCCAAGTCAGCTAAGAGCTTTCACTTTGCAGAAACATTAACCCTGATTTATGTAGGAGGCAACCAAGTGTCTGGAACTCAAGAGTGGAGTGCAGCTGATACAGGTAAAAGGCAGCCAACTCTCTGGCCTTAAAACCCACTGAGGCTCAGAGGTAGATTCGTCCCTAATGTCCACCACTATCCTACCATCCCTTTGTTCCAGCCACCAACATCAAGACAGAATCCTTGAGTCCTTCTGGGATTCAAGAAAGGCCTGGGACAGGCCTCAGGGGGACACTGGGAGTCTGACAGGGGACCCCCAACCCAGCAACAGGAAGCAGAGGCCTCTCCTCCTCACCTCTCTCCCACATCCAGCCCCTCCCAGCCCTGCAACTCACCTCCTCAAAAGACTCCACTTTCTGCTGGAAGAATTTCACTCCCCTCTCAGTTAACCTGGGGGGATCAGACACATCAAAAAGCCCAGTATTCAGTTCTTTGTCCCATCTCTCCCAAGGAGATGGCATGGGGGATGTTCCCCAAAGAAACTTCTGTGGATGTTAGTCCCACAGGATGCTCCTTGAGAAAATGGCTGTGTAGTCAGATCAGACCAGTTCATAAGCACCTTGATGGACTAGTGGTCCATGAAATGTCCCATGGGAAAACTGAGATGGCTCAAGCCCCTTGTCAGCAGATGGAGATGGGAGAAGAGCCTTGGTGAAGGTCATACAGTGAGTTAATGACGGGATTGGGACTTAGACCCAGGCCTCTTAGTTCAAAACTCTTCCTACTACCACCACATTGCTTTGTAACATCAAAAGGAATGAGATGCAGGGGGGAGGAGGGGAAAAGCTGGACCAATGCTAAACCCGCCTTTGTCAGAAGCAAGGCACGAGGAGGAAGGTGGAATGGGAACATCCACCCCTCCCTCAAAATGTCCCAGAGGAAAAATATCTGTCATTATTAGAGAGGTAGGAGAAACATCAAGAGAACAGGAAGTAAACCCTATAAAAGGGGAAGCATAACCTCAGGACTGTTTCCTCAAGATAAAAAAAGTGGGGGTATTCTGTCTAGGAAGAGGCTGGATAGGAGTCATAAGTATTCCAGCATTAGGAGAAATAATTATGTTGTAGTGCAATGATTCTGAAACGGGGCTGATAATTAGAATCACTCAGGGACCTTCTTAAAACACAAATTTCTAGGCCCCCACCCCAGAGGATCTGATTCAGTAGATATAAAGTGTGGTCCTGAAATCTGTATTTCTAAAAAGCTCCTCAGGTCATTTGATAAAAGCTGCAATCCATTCTAGATTTTTTTTTAATCTTAATAAAATAGTAAAACATAGGAAATATATGGAATCTTCCTTAATATGAATATAAATATAAATAAATATAAATATGTCTCTCAAGCTAATGTTTGCTAACTTAGAACACTACAACAAGATTTCTATTAACATCAGAAACAAGACAGAGACAACCACTATACCCTGTATTAGTTAACATTGTTCTGGAGGTAGTTACCACAGCAGTTAGACAAGAAAAAAAATGAGTTATAAAAATAAAAGGCAACGTATGTTTTGCAGATGATGTAAGTATGTCTGGAAAACTTACGAGAATCCATTTAAAACCATTACACAAACATTATGGATTTTGGTGAGGTCAGTAATAAATATCACATGTAAAGATCTGCCCAAATGGTTCTGATGCCCAATCAGATATGGAAACCATGGTTTAGTACACAGAAGTGATTAGAACCAAGGATAGCTCCCAGCAAGCCTAAGAGTTTTCCTTTAACATTTGGGGTCGGTCAATACAAAAACAAATCCCATGAACAATTGTCAGTAGACCCCCTGGTCCTTGGGAGGTGCTTTCCTTAAACCAAAGTTGAAATTCTCACCTTTCAGTCAGCCATGGTAGATACCGCCTCCCCTCCACAATCAGGCTTGTGTTGAACCAGCCATAGCTAGAGTCAAAAACAGGCAAGAGTGGTAATAAAGATTCAGAATCAGAGCGATATTCAAAGACTTTCAAATGGAGGTGGGAGCAGTCTCACTTTAGGGGAGCAGTCACACTTTAGCAGTCTACCCCAAGGGTAGAGCCAGGACCACTGAGTGAAGTTCAAATGGGGACTGGTTTTCAGTGCAAGGAAATTTTTTCTGTCAGAAAAGCCATCCCTGACATTGGGGTGTGCACATGAAGACCGGATGTGCATTCTTAGAAGGTATTCAGGCATGGGGTGGGGTGAAGGGAGGACCAAAGAGACACCAGGCTGCAAGGGAAAGAATAGAGGCATTTGGAGTCACACAGACTGGGTTAGAATCCCATTTTGGTCACTTGGCTGTGTGACCTTGGGAAGTCATTTAGCCTCTCTGAAGCCCAGTTTCTTCATCTACAAGAGACAGTAGTGACATGGAGCTTCTGGGCTTCAGATCTGTGACTCCATATCCCCCACCATCTTAGCCCAGGTCCCTTATTGGGTGGGTGGCTTCTCCAAAGGAGCTGAACAGAGCAGCAGGAATCCAAGGTATCAGTGGCTCTTGGCTTGGGGTGGAATAGGAAACTTGGTACCTCCATCTTCTGCTGCCTTCTGGACAGACCTGTCTGAATCATGGGACCTCAGCCCTTTTGCCCATAACAACCTCACCTGTAATCAGGGAACATGTCCAACTCTCTGCAGGTCAGCTTCCGAAATCCCAGAACTGTGTCCTTCCAGGACGGATCCTGCCAAGGAAGGAGAGAAGGAGGCACAGGGATGGGTGGAAGTCAATAAAAAGTTGTACAATGTGTACCACATGTAAGGCACTGTTCCAAGTATGTTACTTATACCCCTCCATTTAACATCCCCAACAATCCAATGAAATACATGCTTTTCTTATCTCCATTTTTACAGCTGGGCCAATTGAGACTCAAAGAGGTTAAGCAACTTGTCTAAAGTCACACAGCTAATAAACGATGGAGCTGAGATTTGAACCAGCACAGTTTGGCTTCAGAGTCCATGGTCTTAAGCATAATGCTATATGAAGGAAGCGTGAGAATAAGGCTGAGGGCCAAGTGATAGGGTAAGAGTCAGAAATAGGAGAGAAACTGTTGACAATGAGGGTTATACCAAGGGGTGAGGGTGGGAGGCAGCCGAGCACTGGGTCAGACAACCCGGTGGAGTTTTGGGCCTCCCCACAGACCACCTTGAATTCTCTGAGACTCCCATTTTCTTGTCTGTACAATGGAATTAACAATTACTCTTGGTCCAATGAAAGAGAACAGATAATATGGGTGATGCCCATAGCCCAGTGCTAAACATTGACTCAGCCTTAGAGAGCTGGCCTGGGTTTCTGGACACCCCGCCCAACCCTCCCCTCCAGCAACTTAAGAACATCCCCCAAGGCTGTGCCCTTCTTAATGCATTAGGTACCATGGGATCACAAACAGCCTGGGTTCAAATCCCAGTTCTGCCGCATAAGAGATTTGTGACTTGAGCAAGTTACTCCATTTCTCTGAGCCTCTATTTCCTCGTTGTACAAAGAGGCTAATGATAGCACTTACTTGTTGGTTATTATGAGAATTAAATAAGTCACTAGTTGTAAAGTAGTTAACACAGGGGCTGGTATATAGTAAGGGCTCATGTGCCATGATGAGTGTTTTAGTCTATCTTGGCAAAAAGCCCTGGCACCTCCAGGGACACAGGCAACCCTGAGACTTCAGCATGAAATCGTCATCACTACAGGACATGTCTGGGTTTGACTCAACCAAAGGCTAGTTCCCCTGTTTCATCAGAAAGTTCTTTGGTCTCTGCCAATTTAAGAACAAAATTGGAAACAAAAATAATTTTAAAGCGTGAATAGAATTGAAAGGAAACCTGATTTGAATGCAAGAGGCTGTCACCCACAAGGCTCAAAGTACTCCCCAGACTCGGGCTCCCAGCCCTGGTCTGTGATCAAGGACCCCTCACTCACCGGAAAATCTTCACGGAAGAGGTTGTAGCCTGAGATTAGGGCCAGGCCCATGTTTGCAGCATTGGGAGAATGGATGTGGCTCAGGAGATAGTCAAAGGTCTGCTGGTTCCAATGTCTGGAAGGATCCCACAGATTCTCGGTCACCTAATACCCCGAGCTGGACAAGAAAACTCTGAGGGTTGGCTTGCATGGGATTGTGACCAGGCTGGTGGGGATATGTCAAAATCCAGAAATCCACCACGTTCATTTCTGCAGCGCCCCAAATGCCTATGGGTCTTCCCTATGCCCAGACTTTCTAGTATTTCCCCAATAATAAGAAAGAGAAGTGGGGAAACAAGGGATGATCCATCACAACAATTTGGAGCCCACCTCGGGCTTGGGATCATGTAGCTGCGAGTTTAAATGAAGGTTTAGGCCTGCTTTGAGATCTGCCCCACAGTTCAGGCTCACTCCAAGCACCTCCCCCCGCCATATAAATGCCAGCAGGAGACCTTAGCTAGCCGCTCCCAAATACTTTCCTCCTCTTCTTCCTGGGCACAGAACTGGCTACATCGCCTAGAATCCCATGCAGCCAGGTGTGGCCATGTGACTGCATTCTGGCCAGTGGACCCTAAGACCGCACATGCCGTCCTCATGCTGTGCCCCTTCCAAAAGCATGGCATAGTGACATCAGAAGGTACAGTGACACAGGTACTGTGGCATCAGATGTGACATCAGAAGTCACAGAGGAGGACAACAGAGCTGTGAGATGCAAGGACCCCGGGCCCCTGAATTGCCACCCAATGATCAGGAACATCGGTTTTGGAATTTATGGGAGAACATAACTTCTGTTTGAGTCATTACACATTTGGGGCTTCTTTGCTGAAGCAGCCGGCAGTTTGCGGTTTCTACACAGACAAAATAACCTTTGCAACGTCTTTGCTACACCTGATCATCCATCCACCCATTTACAAGTATTCCTGATCTGGAGGTTCCTCAGAAAGTTAAAACTAGAATTACCCTATGATCCAGCAATCACACTACTGGCTATTTACCCGAAGAATACAAAAACACTAATTCAAACAGATACGTGCATCCGATGTTCATAGCAGCATTATTTACAATAGCCGAGATATGGAAGCAGCCCAAGTGTCCATCAACTGGTGAATGGATAAAGAAGATGTGGTCTGTATATACAGCGGAATATTAATCAGCCATGAAAGAGAATGAAATCTTGCCTTTTGCAACGACATGGACAGAGCTAAAGAGTATCATGCTAAGCGAAATAAGAGAAAGACGAACGCCCTATGATTTCATTCATATGTGGAATTTAAGAAACAAAACAAATGAACAAAGGGGAAAAGAGAGAGAGACTCTTAACTGTAGAGAACAAAATGGTGGTCCCCAGAGGAGGTGGGTGGGGGGTGTGGGGAATAGGTGATGGGGATTAAGGAAAACACTTGTGGTGAGTGCCAGGCGGTGTAGGAAGTGTTCAATCAGTATACCGTACACCTGAAACTAATGTAACACCGTATGTTAACTAACTGGAATTAGAATAAAAACATAAAAAAAGAAATTGTTAAATGAAAATGATTGTCACAATGGGCAAATCCAGGGGAGCTAGATTTCTAAGTTGTTAAATATAGCCGTTAAAATGGCAATTAGAATGAGTTCAAATACACTGAAAGATCTTTTTATGAATTTATATATGGAAAAACATACATCTCTGAGGGCAAAATTGCTCCCTACTGTACCCAATATCAAGGACTTTAGTGCATTTTGTCCTTCCTTATAATTATTGCTGGGATTTGAAGGGCTCTGTTTTCTTTTTCTTTTTTTTTTTTTAGATTTTATTTATTTATTTGAGAGAGAAGCAGAGACAGAGACGGAGCACAAGCAGGGGCAGTGACAGAGGGAGAGGGAGAAGCAGACTCCCCGCTGAGCAGAGAGCCCAACTGGGGCTCGATCCCAGGACCCCGAGATCATGACCTGAGCCGAAGGCAGATGCTCAACCAACTGAGCCACCCAGGCGCCCCTGAAGGGTTCTGTTTCTTGCTAGCCACTGGGGAAATCAGATGAAAATGATCTTTAAATAAATAAACTAGGAAAAAAATACCATGTATTCCTGATCCATCCATGCACATGGCATCCACAGCCACCCAGTTTAGGGGAGGCATGGAGGAAAGCCTCCATTTGTCTGGCACATAGTAGGCCTTACTATTTATTAGTATTTTCTTCTAAGCCTTGACAAGGGGCTTGTTCTTGGTGATGGGAACCCTGAGAGGGAGCATCCCCTCTTCAAACTCAGCCCCACCAGTTCCCCGGGCCGCCCTCTGGGACCCTCACTCACACTTCCTGTGGGTTGCTGGGGTCCGCGAGGTAGGCCTGACAGAGGCCGGCAGCCACGTTGCTGTTGGTGAATGGGGTGAAGCGGTCTGAATAGACCCTGATGTCCAGTGATGGCAGGACCGAGTGGTAGCGCTCGTGGATGCACAGGGCAGTGGACAGCCCGATGACACCGGCTCCAATCACCACCACGCGCATCGTGCCGGCCTGCAGGGGGGAAAGGTTGCAGTGTACCATCACCACCACCACCACCATCCCCTGAAAGGCTTAGAAAGTGCCAGACACCGCCAAGCCCTTCTATACCTGATCCTCTTAATGACCCTCAGAAATGGAAAAATGGAAACATAGAGAGGCCAAGCTACTTGCCCAAGGTCACGGGTCAGCGGGTCAGTGATGCAGCTTTGGCTGGGGAGCCTCCCCCGAAGACCCTGCCCCAAGCCAGGAACATAAATAGGGTTGAGCCGAGTGTCTGGCCAGCTGTAGACTTGGGGCCTTTCCTAGAGGACCATGGGCTCTAGCTTCAAATCTCATACCTCAACTCTGCCACCTACTGGCCATTGACTTTGGGCAAGATGCTCATGAGCCTTCACCTTCTTGGAAACAGGGGGATAATAACTCCTACCTTGGAGAAAGATGGGAGTTTTAACAAGATGGCCAGTGTAAAAGCCTCAACATAGGGTCAAGTGCAAAAGAAGTAGTTTACTGACATTTGTGGAGCACCTACTGTGTACCAACCCCAGGGCTAAGTGCTTCGCCCCACGTTCTTAGGAGGCTGGGGTTATTGGCCCCATTGTTCGGATAAGGAAAAGGAGGCTCAGAGAGGCGAAGTAAGTTACCTGAGGTCACACAGCCAGTAAGTGATGCTGCTGGGATTTAATTTCGGTTCAAGTAAACTCAACATCCGCTTATGGCGCACCTACTATGAACCAAGCTGGGAGCTAGTGCGTGCAAGGTCTGACTTTAGAACTCGGGTCTTCCAGCACAACCGCTCAGGGCCGGCCTTGGGGGCTGGGCTGGCTGGGTCCTCAGAGGTTTAAAAGGCTTAGCAGCTTTGGACCTTGAAGCTGCTTGGGCCCCCACACAGCAGGGAAATACCCTGTGGGCTCCTGCTGAGGCAGAACAAGGGGACTTTTTTATGCCCGGAAGGGCCAAGTTCAACTTTCCCTCCTCTTCACTCACACAACCCTCCTCCCAGACCGAGCCTCCTGGCAACCCCGTGGCCCTGAACGGCAGGACATTCTCAATAGGGCCTAGTTTTGTAAAAGGGGAAAGCGGCTCCAGCCCACAAGAACTGGACTCAGTTGGGGTTTCAGCAGCCAAGTTGGAGATAAAACCAGGAAACGGAAAGGCATTGCTCCTCTGGGCCATTCTCCTTCCTGCTGCGAGGCTTGGTTGCAGGGGCAGGACCCTCTCAGGGACCCCTAGCCTCCTCCCATCCCTCCTCCCCCACTACTTTGCCTCAGGAGAGTCAATCTCCTCCTCTGTAAACTAAGAGTAACCCTGACCTCACAGGGTCACCCTGAAAATGAATCCACCAGCTTGGCAGAAGTTTCTGGTGCAGTGCCTGGCACAGAGTAGGCCCTCAGTACGTAGTGACCTCCTTCTGTCCCCCGGGCATCTTGAAGATAACAAGGGAAAGAACACTGGGGGTGGGGGAGGAGAAGAGGAAGAAGGGAGAGTCAGACCTGGCTTCGTTTCTGACCCTCTGTTTGGCCTTGACCAAGCAACTTCCCCTCTCTGGGCCTTCTGACTCTCCCTGCATAACTCAGGAAAGTTGACCACTTTTGTGCATTAACAATAAGAAGGTGAGAATAGAGGGCTTTCCAAATTCCCCAGATGAATCCCGGAGGCAGCAGTAACAGCCCAGGCTGGGGGTCAGACATACCTAGGTTCATAGCTTGGCTCTGGCACACACCCAGCCGTGTGACCCTGGGCAAGTCGCTTAACTTAACTGAGCGAGGGTGACCAATCTCAGTTTCCCAGGACTGAGGGTGTTCCCAGGATGTGGGCTCTGAGAGCGAAAACCAGGAGAGTCCCGGGGCAAACAGGGATGAGTTTTCATCCTGATTGAACCTCCATTTCCTCCTCTGTGGACTTTTAAGGGTTAACAAAGCTCCCTGCCCATTGTCTCCCCACCAAAATATCAGCTCCCGGAGGACAGGGACATTTCTTTTTTAAGATGTATTTATTTACTCTAGAGAGAGTGAAAGAATGCGTGCACAAGCTGGGGGGTGGGGGCAGAGGGAGAGAAGTTCAAGCAGACTCCCTGCCAAGGACGGGGCCCGAAGCAGGGCTCGATCTCACGACCCGTGAGAGCTCATGACCTGAGCCAAAACCAAGAGGCAGACACGTAATCGACTGGGCCCTGGGCAGGGACTTTTATCTACTTTTATCTATCCCCAAGGCCTAGAATAGTGCCTTGCCTATAGCAGGGACTCACAAATGAATGAATGAACAAGTGAATGAATCAAGTTCTTATGAGGATCAAAAGAGAAAATACTGGTTAAGTGCTGGGGAGCTCATAAATGACAGCAGTGATTGTCACCGTCCCAGCTCACAGGTAAGGGATCCAACGACAGGGAGAGGAAGCTAAGTTATTCGAGGTTAGAACAAGGGTTGGAGGAAAGGTGGGGTGTGAACCCAGCTCTGCCTTTTCCAGGGCCCGAAGTTTTTGTTTTGTTTTGTTTTGTTTTGTTTCCATTCTCATGCCACCTAGAAAACCAGCAAAGGATGGAGAAAAAGAGGAGCTGCTTCCATAGTAGAGGTTGTGAGGGACGAGGAGAGTGTGAAAACCCTCCAGAGGTTTCTGGGCAGGAAGAAAGAGGCCTTGGACTGAAGCAAAGCAGGCACGCGGCCTGTCTCCGATAACCAGGCTGGTCAGGTGTGTCGAAGCCTCTGGTTAGAAGCAGGGGCACATGCCCAAGAGAAGAGCATGAGGGATGCCCAGAACAACATCTGGAACCAAATGGCCATGATAAAGAGGGACAAGTAACAGCGTGGGACTCAGTTTCTCCAGACCGTAAAATGCTAAAGATGAGTTAGACATTGTCATACAGATGGGGAAACTGAGGCCCGGAAAAGCGGAGACACTCTGCCAAAATGACGCGTTTGTGATAAAAGGGTTTGTGGGGTCTTGGGGTGAAAAAGTCTCCATAAAAGGCAAGAATAGGTTGAATCGGGAAAAGAACTGTCGATATGGAGACAATAGCCCTGCTGTAGCATGTTCCAGTCACTGCGCTAAGGACTTTATGTGCTTTATCTGCTTTCGTCTTCTGACAACCCTCAGGGTTATCATTATGCCCATTTTCCAGATGAAGCAAGTGAGGCTCGGACACCCAGCCGGTGGTGAGAAGCGGAGCCCAGCACAGCCTGACTCACAAGTCCGTGTCCCTAAACAACACCATGAGAGGCTGACAGATCACACTATTTGAAAAAAATCAGAGGGCGAAGCAGGTGAAAACAAACAGCCAATATTTCAGGGTCCAGCATTGAAAGAACCCATAGCCTACAACGTGTGCATGAATTTTTAGTGTGTTGCTGGTAGGCATAGGATTGAGAAGGAAAAATGCGATGCCTAAGCTAGTCATCTTAAACTGCAGGACTCAGATCTGATGCTGATTATAGCAACTGTGTGTGTGTGTGCATTGGAGTACAGTATAAATGCCTGAGGTTCTTCTGAGAAGCAGGAGCCAAGCTGTGGGGGTCTGACTGATCGAGCCTCAGGTAAAATCATTCATGCACACGGATAATGAACTTGTGGACTCACATGCACGTGGCTCGATTGCTAGGTCAGCCATTTCTCGTTGTTGCTGGTGTTCCTGTTAGTGTTGCCCTTCTCCCGCGTCTTACACCCTTCACTTGGAGGGTGCATCCAGGAAGCTGCCGAGCTTCTCACGTTTATCTGCGTGCATGTGGAATTATAACGTCTCTATCAGTGTGGGGCGGGAGGGGAATTTGGGGCATCTGCCACTCGCCACTACACACATGTAGATTCATTACAGATGTCCTCTTGCTTCATTCTCTCAACTGCTCTGGGAGGTTCTACAGACGTGAGACTGAGGTTCAGGGAGGGGAAATCACTCTCCCAAAGTCACAGAGCCAGTTTGGGGCAGCACTGGGATCTGGACTCTGTTCTATCTGAGCTTTCCGCACCGTGCTATATAACTATTAGGCAGTGGGCAGTAAGTTGGCACCTGACGCTTCCTGCTTGCTTTTCGGTCTCGTGTTTGTTTGCTTATAACCTCCCTTGTCCCTCAAAAGGAATTTGGGGCAGCTTGTGCCTTTGATTGCTATTTGCGTGTAGCAAAAAAATAGGAGACTTGTTAAAAAAAAAATCGACAAATCACGGGCAAGGTATTTGAATGAACAAAATCAGGATGTGCCATACGGGTACTTCTTCTGCCGTTGATATTTTCACAGATTACCCTTAAAAGGAACAGACATGCTTGACAACCAGGCTACCAGCCCCCTGTCCCCAGATAATAATGACCATTTATTGAGTACTTGCCATGTGCCGAGTTCTGTGCTAAGCACTTTCTGTTCACCTCTTTTGATACTCAAACTAACCCTAGAAGAGGTGATTATGATCCCTGTCTTCCAGAAGAGGAGAAGGAGGTCTGGAAAGGTGAAGGCACTTGCCCATGTTCCTGCCTAGCTGCAGAGCTGTCACCCGCCTTGGGCTCTAATGTGGAGCCTTCTGCTTAACGCTGGGACGACCCTGAGTCCTGGTGCACCGACACCCCGACTCACCTGAATTGCCAAACTTCTGAAGAAACAGCTGCTGTAGACGCAGGATCTTATCTGCTGAGGGGAGTCTCCTGATTCTGGGGCGTCCTGTCCTCAGCCCTCTGCCCGCCAACAGGGACTGGAGCTCAGGGTCAAAATCTGGAGTTATGGACAGGGCACAGCGAGGGGTGGGGCTTGGCGCTGAGCTGCTCACAGGCTGGGAGACCTCCCCTCCCCTCCTTCTGGTCCCTGAAAAGTTGCCTGACTTTTCTGGCTGATCCCAAGCCCCTGGGGACAGCCCTCGGGGCGGGGGTTGGTGGGGAGGGCTGTTGGGGACAAGGAGGTCTGTCTCCCCGGGCCAGCTGGAGACCATCGTCTTTCTTCCCTCTTCCTGCTGCCACCCTGGGGGAGGGGAGGGTTGTTCCCTAGCCACTGTGGGCCTGGTCAGCCTGGCAGCCCTGTGGGGAGGCCAGAGATACAGGACAGGGCCTCCAGCGGCCAGCCGGCCAGCCTAATGCCATTCTTGGATGCTGGGTGCAGGAGGCCAAGGAGAGACTCAGGGCGACGCCTATTTGGGCCCTAAGGATGCGTGGCTCTTTGCTGCTGTATCCCAGAGACACGGGCGGCAGAACTCCAAGTCCCTCCTCTGCCAGAGCTAGACGTGGAGTTGTGATTACTGGAGCTGAAGGATTACCAGGCGCCTCACTGTGTGGATGGGAAGACTGAGGCCTGGAGAGAGGGACTAACCAGCCCCTAGTAAGGCATTCTTTGGGTCAGCTTTGAAGATCCAGCCTCCACTTCCCTATCTTCGGCATCGTTGAATAAAAAATAAGGATAAAATAAGAAAATGCATACAAAATATTTAGTGCATGGTATTTTTTAATAATAATTTTTAATTTTTTTTTTAGATTTCCTGAATTTATTTGACAGAGAGAGAGAGAAAGAGCGAGCACAAGCAGAGGGAGCAAGGGAGGGAGAGGCAGGCTCCCCACTAAGCAGGGAGTCCGATGCGGGGCTGGATCCCAGGACCCCGGGATCATGATCTGAGCCAAAGGCAGACACTCAACCAGCTGAGCCAACCAGGTGCCCCTTTTTAAATAATAATTTTTAAAAGCATGGGGTGAACTCCACCTTTTACCCTGTATACTTCTATTTCATTTGAATTTTTAAAATAATAGTCATGTTATCACTTTTATATCACACGACCTTGTGTCCCTAATTCCTTGTGCCCCTAGTTCATCATGGGAATATTTAAAGTTAACAGTTAATTTAAAGTTAACAGAAATTCCCCGGATAGCTTCATGTGCTCCGCCCCCATCCCAGCAATGATGTATGGCTTGCAAATTTCAGTGTTGCAGTTTTATTTATTTATTTTTTTTCAGGGTTTCTTTTTAAGTGATCTTTACACACAACACGAGGCTCGAACTCACAACCCTGAGACCAAGAGTCCTGGGCTCCACCGACTGAGTCAGCCAGGTGCCCCATGGTGTGCCAGTTTTAAATACTTTGCCTGCATTATCTCATTTTTTAAAAAAGACTATTATTTATTTGAGAGAGGGCGCGTGCATGAGAGAGAGCACGAGCTGAGGGTGGGCGTCAGAGGAAGAGGGAGAGGGAGAAGCAGGCTCCCCGCTGAGTCAGGAGCCCGATGCAGGACTCGATCCCAGGACCCCGGGACCATGACCGTGAGCCGAAGGCAGACGCTTAACCGACTGAGCCACCCAGGTGCCTCTAGATTATCTCATTTAATCTCACAACAGCCCTATACACTAGGGGCTATTATGATCACCCCTCCCTTCAGTTCAAAAACTTGTTCCCCATGTCCACTAAGGCTAAACACACACTTATTATCCCCAAACCCAGGAACCCCGAATCTTACACGTATACCCGAGAGAAATGAAAATACACATCAACCAAAAAGCTTGTACAAGAACATTCATAGCCCCGAAAGGGAAACAACTCAAATAATCTATCAGCTGGAGGATGAATGAAACCGATGGTGGAGTTTTCGCACAATTCCCACCGTGGAATATTATACAGCGATGAAAAAGTCACAAGCTGCCGCATACAACAGCCTGGAGGAATCTCATAGCTGCTACGTGAGCGGAAGAAGCCATACAGGAGGAAGCCCATTTCCATATTCGTGAAATTCAAGAAAAAGGCAAAACTAATAAATGGTGGTAGAGGATGTGGGAAGACTGATTACCTCTGGGAGGGGCAGTGAGGAGGATGGGGCGCAAGGACATCTTCTGAGAGGCTGGAAACGTGCTCCTTCGTAGGGAGGCGGTTACGGGAATGTATGCATATGTAAAAATGCATCCAATTGCGCATTTAAAATTAAGATCAATGTCTCTGACACAATTAGAAGGGGGGGAGGGAGAGGGAGAAAGATGGGGGAAGGAAAGAAGTCCCACAGACTCAGTTTAGGGCTCACTTGGTCTTGGTGATCGTTAAGGCCCTTAAGAAACGACTCTGAATCCCCAAAGTTCACTGATCATAAGGATAGAAGGTCCCCAAGAAGACCCCCCAAAAGACCTCTGGAAGCAGTTCCTGTGTATTTGGGTGGAGCTGTAGGGGTCAAAGATCCTTCTGTTCCAGTGGCTAGTTGACAAACAGCATGGCCTCGCAGCAGCTCTGAAATACTCTTAGCTAAGGCGAAAGAATCATTCACTGGGAGAATTCCTTGCAGGAAGGAGAATTCTGGGTGGGGGCAGGTGAAGTTATAGAACAACAAGTTAACGCATGGCTACTCTCCCTCAGATAAACTTAAGTTTTATTTTAACTTTTCTAAGCATGAGGGTCGTCAGAACCTCTGTAAATGTGTACAACACAGGAGGTGTTAAGAAGAAAGTACTCATCTCCTGCAGCCAATCCCACCACCGGGAAATAGGGACCGTTAACGTTGGATGACTATCCCGGTGACCTACTGGGATCATATTATACGTGCTGTGTTTCCTGCTCTGTTCACTTATCCGTGTGGTAGGTCCTAAATATCTCTCCATGCAACTATAGAACAACAGCAACCCTTTCACACTGGGTACGACTATCTACGGATATAACAATTTTTCAAGTCAATCCCTATGGGAGGGGTGTCCCTATACTTTTTTTTTAATGTTACAAAGAAATATCCTGAACGTGTTTCTTGGCACACCCGTCTAATTATTTCCTCAGACTCGATTCCTAAAAATGAAATCATTGTGCCAAAGAGTTTGCATGTTTAAAATGTTGATCCATTTTGCCAGACCGCCCTCCAGAAGGGCTCTACCAATTGACAAATTTAAGGAGGTGCCCACCCTGTACTTGCCCCATCCCAAGAGTGAAAGCCTCCTAAGTTTTGCCCAGCCCCCGCCCACTGCTGGCCTCAGCCTGGTTCCAGCCCTGCTGATGACACTGCAAATCTTATATGGGGATGGGCCCTTTTGGATTTCTTTACAAAGTGCCTACGTATGTATGTATGTATGTAGCTCATTTTTCTCTCGAATTGAGCTGGCTTTTTTTCTTATTCATTTGTGAGAATTCCCTTAATATATATGGGTTTTCTCCTTCTGTTGCAAATATTTTCCCCAATCTTTTTGTCATACAAAGATTTTAAAACTTTTTGCAGCCAAATCTATTCATCTTTTTGTTTTCCTTCGTGGTTTCTGCCATTAATGTCATATTTAGAAGCCTTGCTTTCGCCCTTCGCTCCCCGCCCCTTATTATAAACTACTTGCACAGACTTTTAAGAACTTTTGAGGGCTTTTTTTTTTTTTTTTTACATTTAGATAAAATTCATTTGAAATTAACTTTGGAGACTAGAAGCAGGGTGTGGATCTAGCTCTACTGGCTCTAGCTAATGGCACCAAAACCACTGGTTAAGTCACTTAGATTTTCTCCACTGATACCTACCTGATTTTATCATTCACTAAACTTTCCTATATGTTTGGATCTATTCCTGAACTCTCCATCGATCTGTCTGTGGCTTTCTAGGCCAGTGCCCCTTCTGTTTCAATTTCTGCAACGTCATCATATGTTTTAATATCTGGTAGAACAGACCCCTTCTCTTTACTTTTCCTGCTCAGAGTTTATACCTCCCTCTTCTCCCACAGTTACCTTCCTGGGGGTAGTGATTAAAGGCCATGGACTCTGGGGTCTGACAAGCAGACTCGATTGGCACCCCAGCTTTGCTCTCTCTACCTGTGTGGTCTTGCACTGATATTTAAGGAAACCAGAGCACAGTGGAGCAATGTGACTCTTGATCTTGGGGCCGTGAGTTTAAGTCCCACGTTTGGCCTAGAGCTTCTGTAAAAAAAATCATCATAATAAATGTCCACTACAAAATGATTCAAAAGAAGGCAAAAAGGAAATCAGAGCACAATTGGGAGGCCACGTGGCAGACGGTCCAAGAGCACACACTTTAGTACCAGACATGTCAACCTTCAGCTCCACCCCTCATGGTCCTCAAGATTTCTGACAAGTTTCCCCTGGAGGCCTCATGTGGAATAGGGGAGGGGCCTGGTAACGGTTCCTTACTACTGGAAAAATTGAAATAACTAGGGACTTTCTCCTACTGTGGAAATTTTTTTGGTAAAGATTATTTATTATTTATTTGAGAGAGAGAGAGAGCATGAGCAGGGGGAGGAGCAGAGGGAGAGGGAGAAGCAGACTCCCCTCTGAGCAGGGAGCTTGACTTGGGGCTCAATCCCAGGACCCTGAGATCACGACCCGAGCAGAAGGCAGACGCCCAACAGATTGAGCCACCCAGGCGCCCCAGACACAATGCACAGTATGTACCCAACAAATGTTAGCTTGGTCTGTTATCTCTTGTCAGGACCTTTTACACCCAAAAAGATCAGGTTGGGATTTTCATTGGAATTGCATTTAATTTAATATAGAGAGATTGATAATCCTACTATAATAAGTCTTTCCAACAAAAACAAAGCTTTTCCAGGGCGCTTGGCTGGCTCAGTCAGTGGAGCATGTCACTCTTGATCTCAGGGTTGTGGGTTCAAGCCCCACATTGGGTATAGAGATTACTTAAAAATAAAATCTTAAAAAAAAAAGAAAGAAAGAAAGAAAGAAAGCTTTTCCATCTCTC